CCTTGTAGTAATTCTGAATAAAAGCATATCCTACCTAATTCAAACTTTCTTCTCTGTAAAACTAACAAACTACGTTTATTATCAACTTTTTCTTTTTAGTTCAATAGTTATTTGGTTTACAATGATTTTTAAACTTTTTTGCAAATTTCCAATATCCTATGTGTACTCATTGCCCAGTTTCATCAACTTTTTGCCATACTTTAAAAAATCTATAATCTCCTTTTTGGATAAAATATTTTAATCAAATTTTGATTTGTCCTGTAATTTCATCCCTATATATTTCAGTGTGTATCTTAAACAAAACAAAATTAAAAACATATGTTTTCTTAAATAACCACAATGCATTATCACATCTAACAGGATTAACAATAATTCCTTAATATTATCTAATACCCAAATTAATGCAAATTAATTGTCTAAAGCAACTCTTTATGTGTTTTTACAGTCGCAGTTTTTACAGTTAATTTGATCCAAATGTAAAATAGGCTCACTCATTGTATTTGATTATTTTGTATCTTATAATTGCTCTTAATCAAAAACAGGTGTTCCCCCTCCCCTTTTTGTTTCATGCCTTTGTCTTGGGAAAGAAGCTTGGTCAATTGTCCTGTAGTATTCATGAGGTCGTTAAATTTGTTCCTCCATATTTCTGGTAGACTAGAAGTTAGATCAAAGCCTTGTTTACATTCAGGTTTAGTTATTTTTTTTTTTTGGCTAGAATACTTCATAGGTGGCACTGTTTACTATCACTTTAAATGAGAAGGTACATAATGTTTGATTGTTGTACTTTTAGTGATGCTGAGATTAATGGATGGTTTGTCTACCAGTGGGGTGTTAAAAAAGAAGATGCCAGGCACGGTGGCTCACGCCTGTAATCCTAGCTCTCTGGGAGGCTGAGGCGGGCGGATTGTTTGAGCTCAGGAGTTCGAAACCAGCCTGAGCAAGAGCGAGACCCCGTCTCTACTAAAAATAGAAAGAAATTAATTGGACAACTAAAAATATATAGAAAAAATTAGCCGGGCATGGTGGTGCATGCCTGTAGTCCCAGCTACTCGGGAGGCTGAGGCAGGAGGATCGCTTGAGCCCAGGAATTTGAGGTTGCTGTGAGCTAGGTTGACGCCATGGCACTCTAGCCTGGGCAACACAGTGAGACTCTGTCTCAAAAAAAAAAAAAAAAGAAGAAGATGATGTGTGGGTTCAAGTGGTGATGACCTTATCTTTTTATTGTAGAGTTTCCTGAAGTCTTTCCTGTGGGATGCTAAAACCATTGATGATTGTTACCTGAACCAATTATTTTAATAGGAGTTGCAAAATGATCATTTTCTAATCATGCTACTACCTCTGCATTTAACGGATGTTAAAAGAACTTCTTGTACACCAGAGCTGTTTGGTTAACTTGAAATATGCTTCATATCAGAAAAGCAGAATAAATAAAGGGAAAAATAAGCATTAATTTGGAGTAGTACCCTAGCAACTTCCATTGGTGTCCATTGAGTTTTCTTTCTTTTTTTTCTAAACACCATTACAAAGTCATGACTTTTTATATATCCAGTATGTTTTTAATAAATTGCAGTTATTATTTATTCCTTCTGATCTCACTGTGTCTATCTTTGGCCATTGGGAGCCCTTTAGGCTTCTGTGTCCTTTTGACACAACCCATTGGCCCTTGACAACTTCATTGCTTTTTTGGCTCAACAAAATGTTCCAGATTGATCTTAATCTATATCTTGCCCTGGATATAGAATCATCCATTTTTCTAAGATGACTTAGATCTTTTTAGTGGGGGATGATATTTAGAAATGTATGTTAGGTGCTATATATTACAGGGTTGTCATTTCTTTTAGGCTTTCTCAGTGGCCATAGCCATAAACTATACATTTTTAAAAAGAAGGAAAAGGGATCATGAGTTCACATTGGTATTTCCAAATGAAAATTTAAGATTATAGGCTTTTCTTTTGTAAGGTTAGCTATGTTTTATTACAAAATGTACAGGATGCCCCTCTCTGTTAAGACTTTTCTAACCAGTCAGATCTTTTAATGAAAAATCTTAAACATATATAAAGTAGACAGAATAGTATAATGAACCCCCATACTTACTACCCAGCTTCAACAATTGCCAACTCCTAGCCAATACAAGGCTTTTTACTTAATTTTTTTCATTTTATAATACTTTTATTCTGAAAATCTTGGTTCCTTACAATATTATCAGCTCATTTGCTTTAACTTATAATATTATGCATATGGTGGTTTCAGAATAACAGCAAGTTTTACTACTGCTAATGAGATTACTGAATGAAATTTTAAGATTTCTTTGTATCTTTTTTTTTTTTTTTTTTTGAGACAGAGTCTCACTGTGTTGCCTGGGCTAGAGTGCTGTGGCATCATCCTAGCTCACAGCAACCTCAAACTCCTGGGCTCAAGCGATCCTCCTGCCTCAGCCTCCCGAGTAGCTGGGACTACAGGCATGCGCCACCATGCCCGGCTAATTTTTTCTATATATATTTTTAGTTGTCCAATTAATTTCTTTTTAATTTTAGTAGAGACGGGGTCTCGCTCTTGCTCAGGCTGGTTTCGAACTCCTGAGCTCGAACAATCCGCCCGCCTTGGCCTCCCAGAGAGCTAGGATTACAGGCGTGAGCCACCGCACCCGGCCTTCTTTGTATCTTTTTGTCCTTAGACTATATCCCACTGAGGGTGTATAGGCAAAATATTGCCTAGTGAGGTTGGCTGGAATAATTCTTTTCTCTGTATGGTCATGTCACTAACCTGACATATAGTTAGACTCATTTGTTTTAGTTTGTTTTTAATTTTTAAAGACGGCTTTTGCTTTTTCTTTTTAATATTTAATTTTGAGTTTCTTGAGGCATTTACGTGGTATCAATGTCAAAATTATATAGCCAGTTACATTCAGAGAAGTTTCACTTCCATCCCTATCCCCTCTACCTTGCCCCCTCTCTTCTTTCTCCTATAGGTAAACATTTTTCTTAGCTTTTCTTTGCTCAATATTTATTGTTTTTACATCAAACCTTCTAAACAGATCCATGGGTTGGAGTAGGCACTCATATAAGAACCTTTTCCTATAAACCTCCCTTTAGAATTTTTCTCCCTTGCAATTTGTTCATCCCTTGTTTCAATACCCTCTTATTACCTACCTCCTCCACAGAGCCTTGCTTAAGAGCAAGAAAATGTTCTCAGTTACCTTGTTTTCTTTATCTAGTACCTATCTTGATCTACACACTGTGATACTGGAAAAACTCATTCTTTAATTAATTCATTCTCTGTATCTAGGTTTACAGTTGACTTATGCAATTGGCCCTCTGTATCCATGGGTTCTATATCCATGGATTCAGTGAATCATACATCGAAAATATTTAAAAAACAATAAAAAATAACAATACGATAAAAAATACAAATTTTAAAATATAGTATAACAACTCTTTACATAGCATTTACATTGAATTAGGTATTATAAGTAATCTAGAGATGATTTAAAGTATATGGGAGGAAGCCAGGGATGGTGGTTCACACCTGTAATCCTAGTACTCTGGGAGGCCAAGGCTGGAGGATAGCTTGAGGTCAGGAGTTCAAGACCAGCCTGAACAAGAGCAAGGCCCTGTCTTTACAAAAAATAGAAAAATTAGCCGGGCATGGTGGCATGCGCCTGTAATCCTAGCTACCTGCGATGCTGAGGCAGGAAGATCACTTGAGCCCAGGAATTTGAGGTTGCAGTGAGTTATGATGATGCCACTGTCCTCTAGCCAGGGTGACAGAGTGAGACTCTGTCTGAAAAATGTATTAATGTATGGGAGGATGTGCAGAGGCTACATGCAGATTACACCATTTTATATAAGAGACTTGAGCATACGCTGGAATGAATCCCCCACAGATACCAAGGGATGAATGTATGTCCTGTCTTTTCTGTTTTTGTTGTCTGTATTAAATCACAAGCCTTCTGTTATCTTGGTGTTCAGTGCAATGTGATCTTTTCTTTCTCATTTGTGTGGCTTGTCCTGTAGCAAATGACTACATTCAACTTAGTATTTTATGTTCATTAGCCCTAGTGTTTCATTACTTACTACTTCATTATTCTGTTGTTTTGTATTTGTTTAATGGGTCTATGACTTTTTTTCAATAAATTTGTAATTTCCTGGAGATCAAGACTTCTCTATCACTGTAGGAGATAAAAAGCAAATCTTTTAGGAATATAGTAATAGGTGAATAAATATTAATTGAATTGAAGGATATATTTTGCTTGACTAACTTATGGCCTTGCTTGCTAACAATTTGACACCAGTATTACCAAAGCTACATTTTAAGCCAAGCTGACCAAAGATTAAATCATGAATCTTTACCCCAGAATTTAAAGCACAGGTGGTTTTTAAAGTATTCAAATTAATATATGGGAAAGGAGGCACAATCAATTCATAGGATTAAAAAATAAAAACTTGATCTTTGTTTCTAGAATGTAGCTTTAAGACACACTCAAGGAAAATACTTTCAGATGCTCGTTACTTTTGGTGTCTGGCCTCAATTCCCATTTGGCTTAGCTCCATTATTGGTGGCCCAGAAATTGGTTGGTAAGTAGGAGAGTTAGAAGCAAGGCTGGCTGCCTGGCAAAACCTGCTCATGTTGACTTGGATTGCTTTTGATCTTATTTGCTATTTTATCAACTATTCTTTGTACTGCTAAATGAGTGGAGTTTCAGTGGTTTTTATAGAATGAAAACCAGAAAAGCCAGACTATTTACAACACTTTAAAAATGTGACACTAGTCCTATAATAGCACTGAAGCTACTTGTAATGTGATGCAACTCTGTGTTAATTTGTTTTATGATTAGAGTAGGAAGAAGATGCTAAGGTGATGTGTCCCATCTGTCTACTTTTCTCTTCCTTTTCTCTCGCCTTCAAAGAAGATGCTGGAGATTCTTCAGGGAAGAATAAAAAGATAAATTTTAGAATATATCTGTATTCATGTTAAGAAAATATTTCTTGGTTTGCTTATAGGTCCTGTTATTGCCTTGGAGTTTAATGGAGATGGTGCTGTAGAAGAATGTCAACTTATTGTAAATGAGACATTCAATGGGACCAAGGTACAAGATTTTATTGACTATAATTCAATCTAACCTTTCATTTCATCTCCTTTTCCTTACCATCGAATAGTACTTTTATCCCTGGTGTTCCTTGGCATTTAAAATAAAATAAATAAGGCCAGACATGGTGGCTCACACCTGTAATCCTAGCACTTTGGGAGGCTGAGGCAGGAGGATCGCTTGAGCCCAGGAATTCGAGAGCAGCCTGGGCAACACAGTGAGACCCCATCTCTACAAAAAGAAAAAAAAAACAAGAACAACATCAGATCATGATTTTTAGAACCTATGATAAATAATTGGGAACTAAGGTTTGGTTTTTCCTTGCCAAACCAACACTTTAATTGTTTAAAATAATTACAAAACGAGAATCTACTTATTAAAAACCTTCAATAGTACATAACTTTCTCAGTGGGTACAGTGGCTCAACCCTGTAATCTCAGCACTTTGGGAGGCTGAGGCAGGAGGATCACTTGAGGCCAAGAGTTCAAGACCAGCCTGGGCAACATAGTGAGAACCCATCTCTACAAAAAATTTCAAAAATTAGCCAGATGTGGTGGTACATGCCGGTAATCACAGCTACTTGGGAGACTAAGGCAGGAGGATCACCTGATCCCAGAAGTTTGAGGCTGCAGTAAGCTATGATCACACCTTTGTACTATAGCCTTGGTGACAGAGCCAGACCCCAACTCTAAAAAAATAAAAAATAAGTAAATATATAATTGACTATTTTTTGATAAATATCTGAGAGGAAACTTTTGGTTTTGTTTTCTGATTTTGCCACGGTTCCTTGGATTTACAAAATTTCAAGTACTTTGTCTTCTGTCTCATTTTATCATCATAATAGTACTAAGGGTGAGGACAAATACCAGATTGAATAGAGATAAAATGGTTATGTATTTGGACTTTTTAGAGCTAAATAATTTAGAAATTATCTTATCCAAATTTGTCATATTATAGGTGTGGACACTGAGCCCACACAGGTTTATTAAATTGTTAGCATCATACAATTAGTTTATGATAAAGCTAGAATAGAACCCAGGTCTCCTCTAATTCCTGGCTGACATTTATAGAAGCTACTTTTGAAGGGTTCTATTGAGTACTGCTTTATTGATGTTGAGAAAATATTTCATTTAAGATTAGTAATATATCTTTAGCAGTTTTGAAAAGAATAAACTCAAGTTTTATTTCTCAAACTATTGAGATGATTAGAAAATAGAAGAAACTAAGAGTTCTTTAAATGACCTTTCTTATTCAGTAGCTTTCATAATACTTAATTTATAACTACTACATTATTTTTAAACAATAAAATTCTGGTGTAATAAAATACAACTGGAATATTATGAAAACAGAGACCTTAATTATACCATAAGCCCTTTTTAAAAAGCTTAGTTTACATTATAGCTATTGAAACTATATTGCATGGATTCTAAAGAAAATCTACATATGAAATATTATAAATGGTATACTTGAATTTCTTTCAAATAATAATCTTGTGACTTTGTTCTGTGGAGAACATGGCTTTGGCATTCTGGAATCACTAGTACTTATATTTTTGTTTATTTTCTATTTAAAATAGATGTTTGTATCAGAAAGCAAGGAGACAGCATCTGGAGATGTAGACAACTTCTACAACTTTGCTGATATACAGATGGGAATATGAAATACAGCGTGCAACCAAGGACTTGGTATTAAGCCCTTTCCAACTTGTCTATTTAGAGTTTGACAATATAATACTTTTGTATATCAGCAATGGTTTTTATGAATGTTAAATTGTTAAAAGTTTATTTTTTAATAAACTTGAATACCGCATCATTTACTTGAGTTTCAAAAATAGTTCACTTTAAATTAAGTAGTTTTAATCAACTTATTTAACCCACTTCAATAAACTTGCAGTTTTGTTTTACTGAATGATACTCTGATTAGAAAATAGAAGTGGCTAATAGTTTATGATTTTAATCCTATTTAAATGTTCTTTCAGATCTCTAATAATTTAAACTTTCCTCAGTACCCATGATATTTGAGAATATATTTTGTCACTTATCTTTTTAAATTTATTTTTTTTAATTTTTTTTACTCCCTCCACTCCCCCATGCTTGTTTTATTTTCTTTCTTTTTCCTTTTTAAATTTAGAGGTATTTGTTACTAGTTGATCGATTAGAATGAGCCTATGTACATTTTTTTCATGTATACATATCCAGTTAAATAATTGCTGCCTAGTTGAATTATATGACAAGTGAGATTTTGTACATGGAGTTGACATAATACTTTGTAAACTGAATTTTTTAAAGAAATAGGCAGTTGATAACCAGCTTTACAAGTAACTCTACTAACTGATGTTGGTATAGCTATTTAAAGACTACTTTGTAATTTGATTATTTGAACAAATTCTATATTGTTTAGTTTTTTAATACAACTGCTAGACGACCTTTCTGCTTCCTGGTGAGAAAATGTATATGCAACACTAAAACTATAGAAGCCCAATCACCAGCAGTTTTCAAAAAGGTGATAACTGTTTTATGAGTTCTTGTGGGCTATCAAAAGAATTAGAACAAAACCTTGTAACTTTTAGGTAAGAAATACTTAGGCATAATGATAAGCTATGCAGATTTTTAAAAAGTTTGATACTTTGATTTTCATTAGATATGCCATTCATATAAAGTAATGTTCAAGTATGATAAAATTATTTTGGTTGCTTTAAAGTATTATTTCCCAAATCTACCTGACCATAATTTAGCGAGAGGCAGGGGAGAGCTACTTGTTTAAAAATCCTCATTATTAGATGCAATCCTCAGATGCATGGATTTAGTCTTCGGGAGGTGTTAACAGGTTGATCTTGTGAGAAGGTACTGGACCTGCCATCCACATCACATATAGCAGATATCAGGAAATCAGCTTGCATAGGCCTATTTTTAAAAGGAATCTGAAATTTGATTCTATTTTGGTAAAACTAAGGCTGAAAATAGCCACTCGTGTAAATTCCTTTTATGATTGTTACTAAAAGTATATTTTCATGTTTAAAATGTTTTTGAATATTTTCAGGTTAATTTATAACTACTACATTGAATTGCATGTATTTTTTTTGAATTATTGATATGCGGAAATAAATCCATTAAAAGACTTTTCACTTTAATAAATTAATATTGAGCACTCATTAATATTGAGCACTCAATTAATATTGAGCACTTACCCTGCGCCTGGCCTTGTGCTAACCATTAACATTGGATCATTTCAGTTCTTTTATAAGAGCATTCTATACTACAAAATCAATATAATTTCATAAGGTACAAATAAAAATTGGCGATGGGTTTAATATAATTTTGATCATAATTTATAAATTATTGTTGCAAATAGTGGTCAGAGGGCATTAATTTTTCCCTTAGTTAAGCTAAATTAAATATACTCCTTCCTATTATATTACATTATTGAACACCATTATTCACATTTGAAATAATCACAATACTGTTTTTCAAAAATAAAATACAATGTACAAAGCTATAAATTGAGTTCTTTATTTTATCTATGGTGTTTTAGCAGAAACTCAGGAATATAACATATAAGGGAGATGTTAATTTAAAATCTTCCACTAAATTTTGTATCTATGAACCAAAGCCTAAAATTTTATATTATTCACTTACATAAGAGCTTTTACCCAAGTTTAATTTGTCTTTAAGGATAGTAATTTGGCTTCTGAATATTTGAAAGGATTTTTAAAAATAAGTAGTGTTATGGTAGTTATTTCTATAATTCTAAACTTTGATAGTAATCAGAATGTACTACATTTCGTTTCTGAATAGCTTTTGAATTCATGAAAAATTATTAGCAATGAAAAATTGGTAATTTTATTAAGTTATACATGTTTAAACATTAGCTTATTTCTCTTTAACAGTACTGCTGTTTTTGTGTTGCTTCTGTATATTTATTTCTAGCTTTTATATATAATTTATCTAGTGTTTATAAAATATGATTTGTAATAAATGTTAAAATGAAAATGGCTACAATGGTTTGGACATGGTTTGTTTGTCTCCACCAAAGCTCATGTTGAAATTTGATCCCCATTGTGGCAGTGTTGGGAGGTGTGGCCTAGTGGGAGATGTTTGGATCATGGGGCAGATCCCTCATGAATGGTGTGGTGCTTTTCTCTAGGTAGTGAGTGAGTTCTCCCTCTTCAGAGACTGGATTAGTTCCCATGAGAGTGGGTTGTTGTAAGGCCGTCGGGTTTCCCTCTCTTTGCCCATATCTGCTTCCCCTTTAACCTTCTCTGCCATGTTGTGATGCAGCGTGAAAGCCCTCACCAGAAGGCAAGGCCGTGGCCTTGAACTTCTCAGCCTGCTAAATAAACTTCTTTTCTTCATAAATTACCCAGTCTCCTTTTATCCAACACAAAATGGACAAATAAAATGGCTTACTGATAATTTTTGAAGAGCACTTCTATAACATATATTTACTCATACATGTGCCAGCATTTCATGTAATTTTTTAAAGTTAAAAGTAAAATAGTCTAATCTACAGTTTATGTTAATGAAAAATTATGCCATTTTTTGTGTGTATAAGGCACTCCGGAGAAATGCAAAGGAAGTAGAAAACCTATTTTAATCTAAGGAATTTCCAATATAATACTTCCTTTGCTAAAGGAATCATGTTTTATTATGAATGAATGCTTACTAAGATTAGGCATCTTTCTCTTCCATATTTAAAACAAATAAATTGTGATATATACTTTCTTTCAGGTTTATACAAATGGACCTTATTTTTAAATTTCCAAATTTGCCAGCCTTTTGTACCCAACTTCTCCCTGTCCTAGCGCATAAGTCAGAAGACTAAAACTGCAGATTGGTTTTTAAAATAATATTTATTATTTTTATTTCTACTTATAAAGATTCTATGCATGCATTTAGAGCATTTGGAGCATTGGAAATAACAGAACTGCACAAGACAATAACAAAAAATACTTATTGGATAATTCTTGATGTTTAAAATTTGTTTTTCTCACTTGAAAGGGACATATTTAACTGTTCTTTATAGGAAGAGAAGGTATTGTTGTAATTAGGGTATGATTACCCCTTCAAAACTCATTCTACAAAGTAGTTTATCCTTGTAAAAGTGTAACACTAAAAAAGCCAAACTTCATTTGAATTTTAGTAAGGCAAACCTTTTTTTGTGAAAATGGAGTCATTCACTGTTGACTTGGTTTTCTCTTTTGGTAGATGGTGGGGGGAGGTAATGAGCCTTTATAACTCATCTCTTTCCTTGTATGACATTTTGACTGTGAGTGGTAAGCTTCAGCAAGATGTTCAGAAGTGGTCATGTTTTTTTTCCTTTTCTAGTGGTTTGGTGCTTTCCTGGTGAGGGCTGGTTCTCACCTATAAATAAATAGCATAGGAAGTAGAGAGCCCCAGCATTCTCACCTTGGCTCTGATCCTCCCTGTGGGGCCTGCCTTTACTGTTTGAGTTTAATCTAATCCACTTGTAATTGGACTAATGAAAATTAACTTGCAAATTGTGTGACAAGTAATTAACTGATATTTGTAAGTGCCTTGAAAATGAAAGGTACTTTATAAATGTTAAGTATTATTGTGCTGAGCAAAGCAAATACAGTAGATCCCCCTTTATCTGTGGCTTTGTTTTTCTCAGATTCAGTTACCTGCAGTCAATCACAGTCCCAAAATAAGTGAGTATAGTACAATAAACTATTTTGAATGAAACTACATTCACATAACTTTTATTACAGTATATTGTTATAATTGTACTGTTTTATTAATCTTACTGTGCTTAATTTAGAAATAAAATTTTATCATAGGTACGTATATAGGAAAATCATAGTATTTAATACTTATAGAGTTCAGTAGGTACTATCTGCAGTTTCAGGCATCCACTGGGGGTCCTGGAATGCATTCCCCTTGGATGGGGGGGTATCATATGATGTTCTTTTAAAGTAGTTTCAGCTGTGAAGCCACACACTTGGCCACAAATAGGCAACTGAACAGGGACAAACAAGCGTAAGAGGCTAAGACTTAAATGCTGTTATCTTACTGATTGATGTACTTTCATTTGTCAAATGTATGTCAGTTTGTTAGGCACATTAAGAGAACCTTTTGTACTATTAATATTTTACCCTAGCTTCTAAACAGATCTTATATTAAGTATTTTAAGATTTATGTCATAGAGTCTTCTGTTTTTAGGACTGTGAAGAGTCTGAACATTTTCAATCCCTCCTTTTACAGATGAGAAAGAGAATTGAGGGTCAGAAAGTTTAGATGGCCTGTCCAACTCACACCATAGTCACTGAACTATAATGCAGGCCTCTTGACTTTCCCCCTGCGATTACTAGGAGAACAAGACTCAGCTCATCCATCTCCTCCTATATGAAGCCTTTTCTAACACTCTCGGGTGGAAAGGCCTGTTCCCTCCATGGTGCTCACATAGTACTCTGTGCAGATTTCCAAGTACCTATAACACTTTATTCCATTTCTTTATCCATGCCTCTCTTGCTACTCCAAGTATGATCTGTGGACCAGCAGCACCAGCATCACCTAGGAACTTGTTAGAATCTCAGCCTCCACTCCAGATCTGGTGAATAAGCATCTACTTTTTAACAAGATATTCAGGGGATTCACATGCACATTAAAGTTTAAGAAGCCTGTCAACTAAAGAATGATGAGGTTCATAAATTTGGAAAGGAGAGCTTTATTTCTCATAAGGGGTTGTAGCCTGTAGGCTGGTCATCTTGCAGACTGGGAAGCATAGCCTCCAGCCAGAGCTGAGAGCAAGCACTTCCAGGGAACGGTAAAGGGAATAGGAAT